GCACTGCTACAGTGCGCCGCTTGGGAAGTGCAGTGGCGCTTCCGCCGAGGGTTCGGATCCCACATACAGACCGGCCGCTCACTGGCTGAGCGAGGTGCGGGAGCAACACCGAGGGTTGCGATCCCATTGCCGGTCCCGGTCCAGTACGGGAGCGACACTGAGGGTTGCGATCCGTTGCCGGTCACAAAAAAAGAGACAAAAAGGAAAAAAAAAAAAAAAGAAAGATCTGACGTATATCTGATCAGATTGTGGAAGGAGATAAAGAGGATGGGGAGAGGCAATGTTCAGTGAAGTAATAGCTGAGAGTTTTACAGAATTGATGGAAAAAAGATGCTAACCCATAGATTTAGTAAGCCTAACATATCCAAAGCTGGATACATAAAAAGAAATTAGTGAAACTATATAAAATACCAGGGACAGAGAAAAAGATCTTAAAAGTTGACAGAGAACTAATAGAATACCTACAAAAGAATGTTAGGCAGTTAGAGTGACAGAAAACTTCTCAGGAGTCAGAAGACAGAAAAATAATATCTTTAAAGTGTGGAAAGAAAATGACGGTCATTCTAAAATTGTGTATGCAGTTAAACCATCTTTTAAGACCAAGAGCTAAAGACTTTTCAGTAAAAAGAAAGAAAAAGAAACCAACTAAAAGACAGAATTTACTATGAACAGATTCTCATTAAAGGAACTTCTAAGGTTCATTTAGGAAGAAGTAAAAATTACTTCAAAAAGAAGCTCTGGAATGCAATAAGGAATCTGAGCAAGGAAATAGTTAACAACACATGGGTATGTCTGAAGAAATATTGACTAAATGAAGCAATAATAATATCTAAATATGTTTAATTTGTGGTGTTAAAAAAAAAACCTACAAGGGCCGGCCCGGTGGCGCACTGGATAAGTGCGCTGCTTGGGAAGCGTGGCGGCGCTCCCGCCCGAGGGTTCGGATCCCACATACAGACCGGTTCCCGCTCACTGGCTGAGCGAGGCACGGGAGCAACACCAAGGGCTGCGATCCCGTTGCCGGTCCCCGGTCCGGTACGGGGGCAACACTGAGGGTTGCGATCCGTTGC